TAACAGAGTTGAGGGAGCTGGAGTGGCTTCTAGAGAGAATGGAGGGAAAAAATTTGATACAATGAGTAAAAACAAGTCTTTCTAAATATGTTGCTATGAAAGGGATCAGAGAAAGGGGGTAACAATTAGAGGAAAACGTGGGTTCAAGAGAGGGTTTTTTTTTAATTTTTTGTTTATTGCAGTAACATTGGTTTATAACATTGTCTAAATTTCAGGTGTACATCATTATACTTCTATTTCTGCATAGATTACATCATGTTCACCACCCAAATACTAATTACAACCCATCACCACACACATGTGCCGAATTATCCCTTTCGCCCTCCTCCCTCCCCCCTTCCCCTCTGGTAACCACCAATCCAATCTCTGTCCCTATGTGTTTGTTTATTGTTGTTATTATCTACTACTTAATGAAGGAAATCATACGGTATTTGACCTTCTCCCTCTGACTTATTTCACTTTGCATAATACCCTCAATGTCCATCCATGTTTTTTTTTTTAAGATCATAAATATTACAACATCTTTGTGTTCTTATGGGAATAATACAGTTGAGAGGGGGAAACACGGTATTAAAGGGAGAGGGAATACTTGCCAGAGCATTATATCCCAAGTAGACAAGAGGGAGCAGGATCCAGTGCACGAGAGGAGAACCAGCCTTAGAAATAAACCTAATAAGTTCATTTAAAGCACCAGGAAGGAAAGCAGACACATGTACATTGGCAAATTTGGTGGTAGAAATACGTGATTGCTTCTGTTTTCTCGGTGAAGTAAAAGCAAAGTCACCATCACAGAGAGATAACAAGGAGGAAAGGAAGTTTTGGAAAGAGAAGAGAAATTTTAGAATAATCATGTAGGGAAGTAGGAGAGTGAATGGATTATCAAAATGTAATCTATCCATTTAGGCACATATTTCTCCTGCCACTGTAAGCACTTTGAGAACAAAAACTGTACCTTACTCAGTTTTGCATCTTAACTCCAAGCATGGTAACTTGTACTCTTTATTATTAATTTTCTGTAATTTCACTTCCATTTCCTTTAATAATCATATAAAATCCAATTAGCTTAATGTTATGCTAGTACTTTAACTCATCAAGCATTAATAAGAGAAACCTATAAGAAACAAACACAGTTAAAACACTAGGATAATATGACGACACCATCACTACCGAGTTACCGAGAATCAGGTTTGAAATCCAAAGAAATAATTACCAATTTCAAGAGAATCTTGCCAATTAAACCCTACTTTCTTAATATCTTAATAAGACTCAAGGGTTTATAAGTAAATATAATATGAAATTCACCCAAACGGGAATTAAATTATTTTGCTCACTAGTTCAGATATGTTATAATTCAAAATTGCTCAGAAAGAAATGAAGCAGAAAACAAAAGTTCTGTAGAAAATAATAACATAAATGCTGCATTTAAAAACATTTGCAATTACAAGGAAAAGACAAGAACCTCCCAAGCCATGTCTAAATTTTAAAGCATTATTCAAAATAACTTAAATGTAATTAAAATCTAAAAGTGTATTACTGTAATTTTCCAAATTGGATTACTTTTAATACTGCTAATTCCCAACTGGTTAACTAGAGCAATTTAATGAACATTAAAGCCACTAAAACACTTTAAGGTTACTGTCTGGTATTGTTCACTCTCAGCCAGAATACCAACAAATATCTACTTCAGATTTGATATTAAAAATTTTTCAGTGAATCTGATGGGAAATTGGTGATGGGTTAATTTGAATAACATAATAAAATTAAATATTCACCAAAAGAGGCAATGAGACCGAAAAAAATTTTTTTCTATGAACAAAGCAATAATAACAAAAGCAAAATATCAAGTAAGGCTAACTAGATCCAGGGGAAGATTCTACTTCATTGAGATATATTTTAGAAATATGTTGTCAACTCTAGCTCCTGGAAACCTTCAAGATGAAATCATAGAGTGAGCATCAATGAAAGAGGTATAGCAACACAAAACATTGCCCACCCTACTGAGGTATCAGCCCTGATGCTTCTGATTAAGTGTTCATAGTGGTCTGAGCATATTGTGTCCCTTTCATCTGATATATAAGTAACAAACCCAAATGCTGTCAGGGGCCAAGTAGAAAATCTAAAGGAATGAATCTGGCAGTGATACAAGACGGTAGAGAGAGGTTGGGACCTTGGAAAGTATATACCCCATCTAAAAGCATTCAAGTTCAATATTTTAAAACACTCTTTTAGCCAAATAATGCACATCTGCAAGCTAAATTATACTTAAAATTCAAAGTCCTATTAGACTTTCAAGGTTCTCTTCAAATGTCACTCTATCAATGTCTTCCCAAGTCTTCCTCTTAAAATATATTTTTTCCTCACCTGTATGTCCTTAGCACTTTGTCCTAGTATTTATTTTAATGTGTCGTGTATAGATGCAAGGTTTTGTCTCCTCCAGTAATTTTGGGCAGAGATTTTTTTTATCTCTAATTCTCCAAAAAAACAAAATACAGTGTTTTTTATAAAAAAGAAGTACCAGGGCCGGCCCGGTGGCGCAAGTGGTTAGGTGCGCGCTCTCCGCTGCGGAGGCCCGGGGTTCGCCAGTTCAGATCCCGGGCGCGCACCGACGCACTGCTTGGCAAGGCATGCTGTGGCGGCATCCCACATAGAGTGGAGGAAGATGGGCACGGATGTTAGCCCAGGGCCAGTCTTCCTCGGCAAAAAAAGAGGAGGACTGGCAGATGTTAGCACAGGGCTGATCTCCTCACAAAAAAAAAAAAAAAAAAAAGAAGTGCTATATACATCTATAAAATTGAATCTGAACTCTTTTTCTTCTGGTCATGTCATCTAGTACAAGACATGAAAAGATCTTGCCCAGAGACATGAAGTGAGTTATTGATCTCAGAAGTGCAAGTCCTTGGTTATAAAGCAGTTTGTGCAATAAAGTTTGGAAATATTCCAGAAGTGTTATGAAAGCAGTAAATCAAGATTAGAGAAATAAAACATTTAGACAATAAGCAAGTAGTTTATCATTAAACATACTTTACGAAAGTAACTTTGTGAGTCATCTGCAACAGTAAACATGTATCTATCTCAAATACCCCTTTGAGGGGAAAGGTTTTTTTTTTAATATGAGAGCTAGAAAAAACTCCTATGCTTATTTTCAAGGCTGCCAAAGTAGAAAAAATAAGAAATTAAGAAAAAATACTACAAATATCTAAACAACTAAATAATATAGGCAAAGCTCTAATGAAAATTCTGATTCAGAGTGCTAACCTGAAACCTAGGATTGGAAGGCCTAAGTTTTAAAACTTCAATAAAAAACCACCTAGAGACACAGGATTCAACCTTTCATCAATTCCTAGGAAAAGAACACTAATTCCACCTGGAATGTGTGGATTGTTTGCAAAACTGCCACATTTATTCCCCCTGGTATTCACACCTTTTTTATAATTCACACCCTCTTCTAACTGAGAGGTAGAGTCTGTTTTCCCACCCCTTGAATTTGGTCTGCCTTTGTGATGGGCTGGTCAATCAAACATGGCAGAAAGACAGTATGCTTGTTCCAAGCCTAGGCCTCAAGAGGCCTTGTATAATCCTGTTCTCTCTCTCTCTCTCTCAGAACCATACTACTGCCATGTGAACAAGCTGAAGGTGGCCTGCTGGATCATGAAGGATACACGGCAGTCTCACCCATTGCTCCAGGCAACATCCAGTCAATCTCTGAAGCAGATCCACTTTACTGACTTACAACTGACCCAAGACTCACGAGAGAACTCAGCCAAGACAGAAGAACTACCCAGCTAAGCTCAGACTAAATCACCAACCCCAGAATTATGAGCTAAACAAATAGTTACTGTGTTAAATCATTAAGTTTCAGGATAATTTATGTAGCAATAGCTTACTAATATACAGAGAAGAAGGTCACAATATGACAGGAACCAAAAGGGTCTCTGGAAGATAAGAATGCTGCCACCAACTTGGAAGACAAAAAAACAATGATAAAAGGAGAAAATGGTAAAAAAAAAAAAAGCTAACCTTGGAGTTGGTGCTAACTTGAGACAGATAATAAAAGCAGGTTGCCCTTTCCCTGTGGAGAAACAAAACCTATCTGAATGTTATCCATCTTTCAAAGCTCAACTCAAACCACACCTCTGCAATAAAATTTTTTCTGATTGCCCTTAGGCACAGTGATCTTTCCTTCATTAGTTACGTATAGACAGTACATTACTGCGGCAAGAGGCCTGGGCTTTAATCAATAAATCTAAATTCAGATTCTGGGTTTATCAACTATGTATTCTTAGGCAAGTTTCTTAAGTCTTTGAATCTGATTCCTCATCTCTTAACTGGAATTTAATGGCTCTCAATTCCACAGGACCGCTGTGAGAATTGGATTCTAAATGTGTCAACATATTAAACACAAAGTACATACTCAAAAATGTTAAAGTGAATTTTGTTTCATTCATTCATTCATTCAGCTTTGACTGGATTCAGGCTGTAAGCTAGACACTGGGAGAAAGGAAACAATTACTAATGATACCACACACGACTGCCATCTAGTAATAATTTTTCAAGTGTACAGCCCTCAAATTAGAACGATGTTAGAGATTATGCCTTATATCACTTCATATTTCCCAAGAGTGTGTGGCCCGGTGTCTTGAATTTAGTATTTACAAAAACACTTGTGGAAAATTTGATTGATTAAAAATGGCAAGATTTCTCATATAACTTTTTTTTTTTTTTTTTTTTTTTTTTTTTTTTTCCCCCCAAAGCCCCAGTAGATAGTTGTATGTCATGGCTGCACATCCTTGTAGTTGCTGTATGTGGGACGCGGCCTCAGCATGGCTGGAGAAGCGGTGTGTCGGTGCGCGCCCGGGATCCGAACCCGGGTCGCCAGCAGTGGAGCGCGCTCACTTAACCGCTAAGCCACGGGGCTGGCACTCATATAACTTTTAACATCTGTATCTCAAAGCAAAGCAAGAGCATCATCGCTTTTGAAGCACAGCTAAAAGAAGACTCACTTGACAGCTCACATCCATTCCTGCTTCCAACAGCACCTGGACAACTGCTTTGTGACCATTACGTGCAGCGAGGTGTAGCGGTGTGTGCTTTCGAGTGTTGCAGCTCATTAAGTTAGGGTGTGCGCTGATGATCATTTTGACCACTCTAAGCCGTCCATAGAGTGCTGCCAGGTCCAAAGGTGTTTCTAGCTTGCTGTTCCTGATGGTAGGATCGGTGAGCTCTTCTAGGAGAACAGCAACTACTTCCGAGTGTCCGTACTGAGCTGCACAGTGTAGAGCAGTTTCATTTTCATTGTTCTGTTAAAACAAAGACATAGAATGCAAGTTTTCAGAAATTCAATTAGTTATCAAAATCTAAACAAAGTAACTTAAAACCTGAGATGCTCTGAAAATGTAAGTTTAAGATTTACCTATTTTAATAATGTGCCTAATAGAATTTTTTTTTAATTTTATTTATTTATTTTTCCCCCAAAGTCCCAGTAGATAGTTGTATGTCATAGCTGCACACCCTTCTAGTTGCTGTACATGGGACGCTGCCTCAGCATGGCTGGAGAAGCAGTGCGTCGGTGCCGCCCGGGATGTGAACCCGGGCCGCCAGCAGCAGAGCGCGCACGCTTAACTGCTAAGCCACGGGGCCGGCCCCCTAGAATTTTATATTTGATACAAGTATCTATCATATATTGCATCAAAAACATCACATTTTATCACTTCAATAGGAAAAATCAAACTTTTCCCAATTTCCAAGAGTGATAAATGATTTAGCCATGTTAGTTAGTGGCCCTGCTGGGCCCAGATGGCCAGTGTTATCTGCACTGTGCATCACGCCTGCATAATATTTGTTAATGAGAGAGATTAATAACAATTATAACACACTTTTAACAGACTAGCTTTCCAAAAGATAGCTGAGATAGTAAATTCTTGATAATGAAATATTTACAAGGTTTCCCAAATTAAGTTTCATTTTATCGTCCATAAAAGTATAAATCATTGCTTTTTTTGCAAAGAGAATGAAGACATACTGGTCCTAAGATTAAACAGTATTTTTTTGAAATGTAATTACGGATTGAGAGGCAGACCTTCCCCGGACAAGTCACAAGGAGTGTCACAGTACTACACGTGCAGCTTATAAGTGTTTCAGTTGAAAATCAATGAGATTGTCCTAGAAATTTAGCAGGATAAAAAATGTTAAAACGGAGAAAACTGAACTCAGTTCCAAGGCAGACAGACGTTTTAGACCATTAGGGCAGATGGTGCAGGCAAATGGGTATAGGACTATGTCAGGAGGTGGAAGGGTCAATCAGGAGAAATGTGAACAAGAAATTTTAGTAACAAAAATGCAATGATCCTGAATGAAGGTTCTAGAGACAAGGGAAGCTGCCATCACCAGAGTCATCTTCATGGCTAACACTATGTACCAGGCACAGTTGCATTTCATGTATGTTTACTCACTGAATCCTTGCTCTGAGATAGATACTATTATCATTATTCCCATTTTCCAGATGAGGAAACTGAGGCACTGAGTAGTTGAATAACCAGCCTCCAATTACATAGCCATTTAGTGTTGGAGCAGGATTTGAACCTAGGAAACCTAGAGCCAAAGTCAGTGCTCTTAATACCATCTTCCACACTAACAACTATTACTACTACCATTTGCTGAGTGTCTAAAAACTTTACATACATTGTCTCATTTAACTCTTACAAACAATCCTATAAGACTGGTATTTCATCTCCAATCATGGATGAGGAAACTAAAATACAAAAAGGTTAAATTACATGCCCAGGCAGATACAGGATCTTTTGGAACCCGTATCTGTCAGAATTCAAAACCTTTCATGCTCTTTCCGCTATACCACACTGCCTGCCATGTCTTGCTATATTGTCAAAGAAGAGAAAAGGAAATTAGTGATCTGAAAGCAGAATTTCTATAGATTTTGCCAAAAAGAACACCAACTAAGTGGGAATAGGAAGTAGCTGCTTAGAGAGCTGTTCTGACCAGAACAAAAGGACAAGGAGGGTTCAAACCCAAACAAAATTTAATGTTCCAGAAAGTAACTCAGCCTTGCTCTGGCTGAAGAATGCAGATACGTGAGTTGAGAGTAAGCGAGGATTTGAAAACTTTAAAAAAGGAGTGGCAAGAAAATAATAAGTAAAACAAATTTTTAATGAGCATTAGGAAAGGCTTCTTGCAACTTTACCTTCCAAATAAGTACCAGAAGAGGGTATTTGAAGGCCAAACCCAGAGGAAAAGCCTACTCCTTGGAGACAGTCAACAAAAAGTTAAGATCTGATAGATGGGAAATCCAGCTGGAGGTATTGTTTCTTCCATCATTCCTGTTCTCAGCCGGAATGTGTTACTATCATCTACTCCCTCATAGAGACTGACCACACACAGGTTCACATTCCCTTAGTCTCTTATCTGGCTAAGTTTTAAAAGCCTGATAAGAAAATCAATCTTATTACTTTATACCATGAAAATGTGATATAGAAATATGCCTCCTGACCAAACCAAATTTCCCTTTTCTTGGAAAGAGATTCAATCTCATTTTTCAAAATACAGCACCTTTCTGAGAAAAAGAAAAGTCAATTATGAAATAATGATTCCTCAAAGACCTCTCTACTTTTTCACAGGCCTTAGCCTAGGAAATTATAAGTGCAAAATTGAAGCTATCTATTAACACCAATTAGCATTGTTCAAATATCAAGAAAAATTATTTCAATCATTTCAGACTTACCCAGGAAAAAATGTTCCTAGAGTTTATCCATGACCATCACATTCTTGGATCGTCACATCAGTGAAGACTAGGCCTGTGGTACCTTTATAAAAGGCATGATTGTATACATGTGTCCATACTTACTAGTGATCTAAAGAAAATCTAATTTGAAATAAGTAGACTGTGATGAAGCACTGACTAATAATTGCTAGTATGTCTACACCAAACATTCTTCAATGGTTTTGAATTTTTCTTTTTTTTTCTTTTTGGTGAGGAAGATTGGCCTTGAGCTAACATCTCTTGCCAATCTTCCTCTTTTTGCTGAGGAAGATTGGCTCTGAGCTAACATCTGTGCCCATCTTCCTCTGTTTTGTATGTAGAATGCCACCACAGCATGGCTTGATGAGCAGTGCGTCGGTCCGCCTCCAGAATTCGAACCTGCAAACCCCAGGCCGCCGAAGCAGAGTGCACAAACTTAACCACTACGTGCCACTGGGCCAGCCCCTCGAATTTCTTCTTTTTTACAAAATAGGTGTTCTCTGAAAAATCAGGACACTTCCAGACAATGAATGGCAGAATGACACTGGTTGACAAAAGCTATGTACCAAAGATCTCGCTTCAAAATAAAACTAATGGAAACTATCACACTAGTTGGGCTTGAGTTTTGGTGAATAGCAAGGTAATATACTTAGGATACAAGGCTCCTCTGGTTTTTTTCGTAATATTAAAATAAAGAAAAAAAAAAGAGAAAGATAAGGTGAAAGGGGGTAAAAATGAATATACAGAAAATTTAAGTTGAAAATATCCATAACATCAGAAGAAAGGAAAGAATAAATCAGTTGACAGAAGACAGGAAGGATGTGGCAAGTATGAAAATCATAATCAGGACAGGATCTACTTTGTTTTCAAAATTACATCAAAATTACATTTCAAAATTACATACTGCCCTAAATTGATCACCAATTCTAGGGCAGTATAGAATGGTGAACAGGACCTAGGCTGACGTGCTAACATGCACTTATTAGCAACAGTAAATCACTCAATCTCTCTCAATCTATCTTATCTGTAAAATTAGAATATTACTTTCCCTATAAAGATTGTAGTTTACCTTAGAGTGTAGTTTACAAATTAAAAGAGATAAGATATGGGAAAATGCTTTGTAAATTTTAAATATTAAAATGTAACATAGAATTATTTTTAAAGAAAGCTGTATTAGAAACCAAAGATAACTTTCAGAAAGCAGAATGAAGCCCTGAAAATTATGCATAATTTTAACATCACTCATAGTGGCTATGATGTTAACCATACCAGTTAAGAGGCTTTTGATCAGAAAAACCTGGGTTCAAATCCAGGCGGCATTTCTTAGTAGCTGTGATATCATAGGCAAGTTACTTAATCTCTCTAAGATAGTTTCCCCAAATATAAAGTAGGAACAATAATTAATACCTATCTCATCAGGCCGCTTAGTAAGATAATATAGTTGAAGTTCTTTGCACAATGCAAGGCATATAGTAAACACTCCATAAGTGACAGGAGTTAGGAGTCTAGATCTCAGTTTTAGTCACACAGTAATGTGTGGCCTCAGACGAGTTATTTAGCTTTACTGAGCCTGATTTCTCATTTATAAAATGAGAGTGATCACATCACTTCAGAAGATTGTGAGAATTAATTAAATAACATATTGCAGGTGAAAGAGCTTAGCACAGTGCCTGGCTATCTTATGTCTCAATGAATGTTAGTTCGCATTTTCATTCCTTCCCTCTATTGTTTAAATACATAAAGGTCTATAATTAAATAGTACATTTCTGTCCCATGATTTAGAGGTGTGAAAAAAAATTAAAACTAAAACCAAAAGTTACTTAAAAAATAAAATTCCCACACCAGAAACTTTTAAGAGAAATGACATTGAATGAAAGAACTATGTCAGCACTAAAGGAGTATATACATAATAACAAACAAAAAAATACTGAAAGCATAGTATGAAAAGTCTCAAGAAATTTTCAATTTGTTGCCAACAGAAACCACAACACAATGCAACAGAAGTGAAAAAATAATTTTGAATTCCAATCTCCTTAAAAAGACATTTTTTATATTTTAATTGATCTGTTCAACATCACAGGAAACAAGTATTTGTTTTAAAAACATACCATTATAGTTATATGCCATTAAAATCTTCCACTTTAAATATAAATGAATACTAGGTGTTTTTTCTTATTTTCATGTCACTTACAAAATATTTTGTTTGTAAAACTAACTTCCTCTTGTTTAACCTTGGATTATTTTTCCATTTTACTATTTCAGGTTTGCTTTGGGGCATTCGGACAGTTTTAAGAATAACCACCAGATGGCTCATCCCACAAATGATCTCTAACTTTTGGATTTCTGAGGAACAGAGCAGCATTCTCATAAGTCTCCTTTTAGCATGATATGCTGATAAAGATAGCCATATCTGTCATTTTTTAAAGATTGAATTTATGAGTGTGTTCTCATAAAAATATTCTGTATTTTGTAACCCATAAACATTGAAATTTTTATTGTGATAAATATTAATAAGACACTTTTCTAATTAATAAAACATTTTTCCTGATTCGTTCTTTCTACAACTGCCTTTTGCTGGAAAAAACTACATATTTTTCTTCCTTTGCTTCAGCTAGTGCTAGTGTTACTTTTTATTCTTTAGTCTGAATTTCAGTCAAAAGCCTGCAAAGTCTGTAACCATTTGAACAATATGCTAACTGTCCTTTATTAGATGTGCTTGCCCTACAGTAACCTTACCTGCATTGATATTGGACAACTGCCAACCTGCAGCTTAATGACATGGTTGTAATTCAATTGTTGGACTGCATGCTGGTTTTCAAATGTAGTTTTACAAAATGAGAACAGTAGGGGGCATGCAGAGCTCAAGATGTTTATTCATACTGTATTAGGGGACAATATTTTACTTTCTGGAATCTGTGGTCTTATTTATTTAGAATACTGAGAATGGCCTTCCTTTTTTTTTTTTTTTTTTTTTGGTGAGGAGATCAGCCCTGTGCTAACATCCGCCAATCCTCCTCTTTTTTTGCTGAGGAAGATGGCCCTGGGCTAACATCTGTGCCCATCTTCCTCCACTTTATATGGGACGCCGCCACAGCATGGCTTGCCAAGCAGTGCGTCGGTGCACGCCCGGGATCCGAACCAGCGAACCCCGGGCCGCCGCAGCGGAGCGCGCGCACTTAACCGCTTGCGCCACCGGGCCGGCCCCAGGCATTCCTTTTTTAATATGCCCATTATATGCAATATGGATATTATGTACTTGCAAATATTTTGACTTTATCAGTCAGTATTATACTGCTGCTGTGTTTTACTCAACTTACTCTGGGCATACGTACATATAGATACATAAAGTAAATTTTTACCCTAATATAAGACTAGCAATTGTATACACTGTATTTTGCATTTTGATTCACAAATTGTACTTACTATGAAAGTGCTATGTATGGTAAAGTATTATGCAAATAGTAGCTATCATTATTGTTTTAGCATTTAAAATTTTATTAAGAAAAACTAATTAGCATTACAAATATGAATTCTATTACATCTTTAAATATTCAACAACTATAAAATAAATGCTTGCATAAGGCAGGCAAAAATATTACTACTTCCTTTATGTGGGATTTCCTTGATAAGAAATATCTCTACAAATGCCCAACTTAGTGCCTATTCACCATATACACATGCCAAAGAATTTTTCAAATTTCTCCTTCAGGAAATTCAGCAGTGAAAATAATCAATTTTTCAATGTAGCTTTGCCTTCGGAAAACTCTAGAAAAAGTATAGCATGAGCACACATTTGACAAGTGCACCTGTTCATTGACTCTGGAATGTGACGGTCCATGATGAATAAGAATCTTCACAATTTCCACATCTCCTTTCCAGGCAGCCAAGTGAATAGGAAAATAACCTTTGTTGTCTGCTACATTTGTTGATGCCTCATATTGAAGTAGTTTGAGAACTATGTCCCTAAGAAAGAAAGAAAAAAAAACACAACAGAAAAGAAAACCTGATGAACAACACAGATTTTATTAAACAAATAATTATGACAGTACACTAGATGCTGGATGGCAATTTAGAGTAATCATTCTAAGTACTGAGTACCTAGAATTCTAGGTACTGAGACATAAAATTGGGTTTAAGATTCTGACTATTCCACATTTGGCTATTTTACTTACCTGAAAAACCACCACCACCACACACACACACACACACACACACACACACAGCATCGACTAACCAATGAAACTACCTAATAGAATCCATGTAGGCAAAATTTATCTAATTTCATTAACTGAATAAATTAAGTAAAATAACTTAAAAAAATACCTCTTCTCATTTTTTTAAAAAAGGAGTTCTTTCCAGATAGCCCATACCTGAGATTTACGCTAAAGGAAAAGCTAAGGTACAAGCAAACGCCTTGTTTACAAAAAAAAAAGTTATCATACTACCAAGAGACATTTAGGGAGTTTATATACCATTCCTAGAGAATTGGAATATGGAATTGAAGATGCATATGCATACAAAAGAGAAAGTAGACAGCACGGTAGGAAAGGGACCCTGACAAGCTAGCTGCAGTATAAGCTTAAGGTTGAAAAAAAGTTTAATAACTTTTCAGCCATGGCACACAACGTACTTTGAACGCGTGCTGTTCATACTTCTGCACTCCTTCACCTATCTCCTCCAAGTCTAAGAAATGGCTCTGAAGGGAAATTCTAAAGAGGTAATTTCATTTAAGAGACAAGTTCCACCACTGACGCAATTTCCACATATACTCAATAATATATCCTACCTATAGGATTTTGTATACAATCCTCATCAAGTTTTCAAAGTAAAAATTTTGAACTGCAATATTCATCCTTAGGAGCAATTAATTAATAATTATTAGTATGTATTATACTGAACTTTGTGTCAATCAACCACAGTAATTCTAAACAAAAACTGCATGTTTAAGAGGCAAATTCTATTAATTCACTAAGTGAAATCCTAGACAGACAGATATAAAAATACATATATATATACAATTACAATAATTCTAAAATTGTTTCTCATCTATAACAAATCACTACGGTGAGAATAAAGGTAACAGAAAGAGCTAAACTTAAATATTTCATGAAGCCAGGCTCTAAATGCAAGTAACAAATGAGAAAAGTTGGAGGAAGTTTGAATAGAAGTGAGGTCAGAATTCTGACAGCCCACAAGAAAAATAGATATGATAAAATACAAAATTATAGTAAATGGCAAAATACGTTGCCCAGAATGTAGCCTACACTTGCAATGTTGGACTTAATTGATAAATGTATGAAGTCATAATTGAAAGAACCAAGAATATGTTGTAGAAATATTTAGAAAGTTTCAAGGAGACCTAAATTTTCTAATGATAAGACTTCAAAGAAAATAAGAATAAATCTCATTTTAACATTCTTTTTAAAACACCAATATTATAAGATCTGAATTTAGAAGATTAGGATTTGAGTCCCAGCTATGTAAACTACCTAATGATATAACCCTAGAGAAATTATTTAGCCTCATTTTTCTTTTTCTTTTCTGTAGGGGATATTGTAGTAATAATAATGCCTACTAGCAAGACTGGTAAAAGCTTTCAATGAGATCATAGAGGAGAAGCCACTTGCTAAATAATAAAGCACTAGACAAATATTAGATCTTGCCTACCCCTCAATAAGTTGAACCTTTCATCTTATTCAGATTGTGAAAAGTAATAAATGGAAACCTCATTTAAAATGGAGTCAGGGGGCCAGAAGAGAGAACGCTCACGCATGTGCCACTCCACACACACTACAGACTCCAACAGGAAGAGATGATATCTTGCATCTCCAACAAGGAGGGATACTTCTTTGCTACCCCAGCAGAAGGAAGGAAGACGTTCCTCCTTGCTGCAACAGCTCAGCCAATGTGAGACTGCCATAACTCAGCCAATAAAAAGCCACTCTACTTCAAACTCTCTGTTTCCTCCAATAGACTCTTCCTTTATAACAGCCCCTCCCAATTTCCTAAAAGAACCCTTCTCTCCTTTGTTTCTCCGGACTTGCCTGTGGTTTGTCATAGACCACATGTCCCAAGTTGCAATTCTTTGACATGTGTTCCCAAATAAACACATTTCACTGGAAAATAACTGGCTGTTTATTTGTTTTAGGTCAACAAGAAATATCAGCTAATGAACTGGCTGGGCTAAGATTTCTAATGTGAAAATGAAGGGCACAATATGCCATCCCAAAATATGCCTCTTTGGCATAGGATTATTTCGAGCTGGTTATTTTGAGACACTGCAGACATAGGAGAAGCTCTGAAAACTGAGTAGCAGTTACCCTTTTGTAAGGGATATTTACATTTATAAGGGAAGTCTCTATTTGTAAGGGTGTCTCCTTCTCTGTAACAGGAAGAGAGGATGACTGAATCTTTAGCAATTTATCAGTGGAAAAGGCAACAACCTAAATCTGCACACCAACCTTACCTTCGTTTACTATGCTTTTCCTGATAGCCTCTGATAACTGGCTGATCCACCTCCAACACTTTCTTTTGTCTTTAGCTGAAGATGGTATTTAAGATGATGACTTGGGCCATTTTGGGGAGTTATTCAGTTTTCCTGGGTATCTCCCATATATACAGGAGGTATACATGTTATTAAACCTCTGTTTTTCTCCTGTTAATCTGTCTTTTTTATTACAGAGGGGTCTCAGCCAAGAACCTAGAATGGTAGAGGGAAAATTACTTTTCCTCTCCCAAAAAATCATATTTGTGAAATATAAAGTGATGTCTCTAATTAAATAAGTGCCTGTCAGTTTTACTGAATCATAAATAATTAATCAACAAATTGTCATTAATCTTTCTTATGATGTATCCATGTATATCATAAGTAATATGTATTACACAGGCCTTTTTCATCCAGACTCATTATGAACAAATTAAATTTCACGTATATTCTATAATATCTAAACTAAAAGAGTAGTTAACACTAGGATCCCACCAAGTCAGTATTATTATTTTTTATTTTTATTTAAGTTGCACCTTATATCTTCCAGAGGTATCAACAAATGAACATGTTGACTATGCTTGGTTACCTGGCATGAAATATTAAACTATATTGATGAACAATGTCTACAGAAGAGCAAGCAAGAAAAAATCTCTATATCTTAAACATAAAGTGGCATTCTTTCTTATATACAGCATTTGATAAATAAGAAACGCTCTGAAATCCTAAAGTAAATGTGGTTGATGGGATCACAGGAAAAACAATTCCATTTCCCAGGAGCAAAAGAAAATATCAAATTTAATAATAATCCAACTTAAATCATGGCAATATTTTGCAGCTTGAGGCTAATATATGTACATTCAGGTAAATATAAGAATTCTAAAAGTATTCATTTTTGGTATTACATTTAATTTGTTTAATTTTCTGATAGATATAAATACACTTCTGATTAATATGAAATGTCGTTTAAGTTCAGTATATGTTCTGAGCAAAATTTAACTGGGAAGGTTCAACATTCAACTTTCTTTATCTCAATAGCAAGTTTCCCAATAATTAAATCATAACCAAAGACATTTATTTTGTTCTATCTTCCCTTGCTTGTTGGTAGTCCTAAGAACTTTGAAATAAATGTAAATCATCTTCACACAGATGTAGTATTAACAAACTAATGATAATCTCCAATTCCCTAAAGTCCTTTTGATTTTAGACTTTCTTGAAGATTTTACTTCTGCTTAACAGGAATTTAAGTTGCAAATGTGTTTGACATGGTCAAAAGACTTTAGGACAATACTCTCCATTTTCTGACTAAGCTCCTTTATATATTGAATTCATTCCCATAGATTTCTAGATAGACTGAATAAAGGCAAATTTTAACTAGTTAATATTCTTATCCAGGAAAGAAGCAATCAGATCAAAGATATTTCTAGGTTATGCAAAGAGCAACTTCATGGACCAGATTATACAAATTTTTAGAGGGAGTACCCTTCTTTCATTAGAAAGCCTAGAAACAACAAATCAAAAGTATGGCATATTTGTACAGCTTACTATCTGGATTCTAGATCCAATTTGAGATGCAATTTGGATTACTGATAATGGAATCTAGAATCCAAGCATTAAATATTTAAAGAATCAGAAGCAAACATAGAAAATATTTTAACCCCAAACATATCAAAGAACATACATATTTCAAAGATATAGTAACAATTTATTGGTGACATTTTTCAAAATAGCATCCAAGAATCACAAAGTACAATATAATTTAATGAAACTTAACCAGAAAAACAAAAAAAGGAGCAATTTGCTAAGAGAAGGAGAACTGAAATGACATATGAATATACAAGTTTAGTAAAACCTTATAGGGAATGATATTATTTAAAAAGAAAGGATATAAAAAAGAGAGGAGGAAAGGAAGGAAGAAGGAAAAGGAAAGAAGGAAGAGAAAGGGAGGGAAAGAAGAAAGGAAGGAAGAAAGTAAGGAGAGAGAGAGCAAGGAAGGGGAGGAAGGGAAGGAGGGAGGAGGAAGGCTGGAGGCAGGCTGGCTAACTGCTCTTCAGAAGAGAATTAAGAGAATCAAATTTGTAGCAGAAATACATGAGAGAGACAATGAATCATCCATATTTAAAAATAAAAAGAGAAAGAGAAATAGATAGGTCTTTAGCCCATCTATTGAAATAATTTATTTAAAATCATTGCTATTGAATTTTGTTCTTCTGACCATGTTTTTTTTCCATCACTTGAAGGTAATAATTTTCTAATCTATAATTACAAATGACCCAGGAAATCACCAATAGAGTACATTTTCCATTGTGTCCTGTTTTGGCTAAGTGGAGATGAATTGTTCATTATGAAATAACATATTTCAGGTACAAAATGCTCCTCCATTTGTGAATTAACTAGCAGTGGTAAATAAAAGCTCCCCATAAAATGTACAAAATGAGAGCAAACAGGATTAATTTGCAATATGAAGGCTTTAGATTATATGTTGGGGGTAGGGAAAAAGTCTGTGCTCAAAGCAAAAGAATAAACTACAAGACCCTGTAACATTATTTCCAGCTCTGTGATTCCATGAACTTTGGCTTACAAATCATAATGTTTACGGAAACAATCTAGAGCTGATGGATACAACAGCAACAAATATGGAAATGATGTGTTTCCATGCTGACTGCTAAGGCTTGGGAAGAATACAACATAATCAATTGTTCATTACCTATGCTAAGCGAGAAGAGCAAAAGCAAAGAAAAGAAAAATCATTCTTCTCTGGCTCTGAGACATATTCTATGACATTTTTTTCTCCTTCCAATATCTTTTCTTAAGCCAATATTAAAATTAACATTCCAAGTGAACACACTACTTGATAATAAGGGGAGGCAGCCCAGAAATACATAATGTGACAGAGAAAAACCAGCAAGAGTTTAGGAAACTGATGTGCATATAGCCACAAAGGGGAGCTAACGTATTGTTAAAAGCATACACCTGGAACCAGGAGGCTTAGGATCTAGACACAGCCCCACCTTAATATCTAAGTGGCCACTAAGTCACTTACCCAGAATGGCCTTGTTTCTCCAAAATGAAGGAAATGAAGGGGCTAGGATAAAATACATGACCTCTAATTTTAAAAGTCCCTGAATAACTTAAATAATTTAAAATCAAGAAACCTTATACTCTAGGAAAAAATACAAATTTCAGAATTATAGCATCATAGTACAAAACTGAACCACAAATATTACCAAAACAGTATATCATAAAATGTTATAATTGGAAGGAACAATGAAAAATATCCAGCCAGTATATTCAGTACATTGAACTGAGGCCTAGAGAGGTTAATTAAATGGCTCAAGGCCACATAACTAGCAGAGATGGATAGATGGGATAAGAATTTTCCAGCTTTTTTCCAAAGCCTATAGAATGACACTGAGTAAAATCTTTCCAGAAAGTGTTAAAAAGAAAAGCTAAATGAGATCTTCGGAAAAAGCAAAGCAGATACGTATAATTCTCAAAGCATCTGCAATTAAAGAGATCTTAGAAGATATCTAGTCAAATCTCCCATCTCTTTATGATAATCTTAATGATTGCTATTCAATTCACTGAAACTATCTGCACTTTGTACATTCCAACAGAAAACTAAAAATTATGCAGTGGGTCACAGGGAAACATATCTCAATGGTTAGAAGTTCATACGCTGTCATTTATAAACCAATAACATTTACTAAATACTTCACAGAAAATTAAGAAGGGATATGAATGCTAATCCATTTTGTGACAATATTATTTTGAGAAATGCTTATAATGCCAAGCTGAGAGAGAACAAGAAAAGTAGCATATAGCTCAAACGGTCAGGCCCAAGATCTGTCCATTAGATTTAATAGTTTATCTTCCCAATTGGAACTAAGAAATATGGTACCACCTTGAATCCGCAATTAAGATGGCCAAAGAAGCCAGCAGTAAGGTAGGGATCTGGACACATCATTCAGAGGACTTACAACACTTTGTCACTAAACATTAGGTTACCTAGCTAAAACACTGGAAATAAAGTGGTGGTTACAGTTAAACATTCTTTCACTCTCTGTACTATATACTATCACATTATTTGAAACATAATTCCATAGCTTAAAGAAGTTTAAAACCAGAAAGACCATCATGAATGACAAAGAAAAAGCATTTTAGATAAATTTGAAAGATTTTGAAGTGGTTCATACAAGAGTCCATGGCTTCTAATAGCAAGAATCTATTAAGATTTCACTCCTAGTGAATACTGCCATGTTAGGTGAAGACACCAAAAAAGGTAGAGTGGTGTTATTAAGTGGTTTTCCCATTCCCTGCCTAAAACTACACGCGACTAACATGGTCCTGTTACTTCTTTCATTCTCCCCGTGTAATATTTGACTATTTTAGAGCAATTCTCTCAGTTTACAGTCTGCACATAATCATCCTCAGCAACATTCCTACCAAGTTTGTCAGTGTTGCCACTTGGTGCCTCTCCAAATTCATCTAAGCCCAGGGGACTCATGGCAACATGAGACAGGTATCATCAGACATAATTAACTTCGTTACATGTAACTAAATACACAAGGATTCCAGTCCAAATAAATGGCACTTACTTATGTCCATTTAAGGCTGCGTGGTGTAAAGCAGTGTAACCCGAACTGTCTGTGCAGTTCACATTGGGGCCTCGCCAGATGCTGCAAATAAAGCACAAGCGCAGAGTTAACGGTTAAGCAGAATCATGCTTTGAAAAACAAAAAGCTTGACAGTCCTACAGCCAGCAGCATGCTGCATATGAAAATTTTAGTCATGTAGAAAATGACTGCCATCTTTCAAGCATTCCCCTCAGAACAATAACTTCACTTATTTAATGCAGGGAAATTATTAGGGAATATAACTACCTTCAGAAATTATTAGTGAATGTAGGCCCACTGCCATGCACTAAAATTTGGATCTGAAAATTCCCTATTATTTTATATAATTACTTAAATATTGGAAACAATTAACATTCAGCTACTATATTATATACCAAAGAATAAAGATTTATGACACCTGCCTCATCCCTTTCAATGCATTATTAACATTCTTAGATGGCAGTGATTTATATAAGTTATAAGATATTTTTGCATTATGGGAAGAATATAAACTCTTCTTGCTGCTTAAGTCCTACCAAAAAAATATAATAAGTATGTCATACTTGAAAATATAACTAACGATTTGGACTGTTGTAAACCCTAAGAAGATTCTAATAGTTTTGCAGTTATCATTATTTTACTATACAATATATTCTGGAGATAACATGTAACCATATAAAAGAGTCCATTTTATCCTTGATGACTACAATTACAGAAACTATTTTTAGCTTTTAAAAAAATAAGGCATTGAAATACACTTTTCAGAAAGTAGACCAAAAAATGACTTTATCTGATGTACATTATGATACTAAAGCCATCGAAACTAACATCCAATGACAAACTAATTCACGTATTCACAAAATATTTATTGTACATCTATAGTATATCACATATTAAGCTAGGCACTGGGAGTACAAAATCATAATTCAAGGTCATTTTTTACAAGAACAGACTCTAATAGAGAAGATAGAAACATATACTAATAAGTAATTACAAAGTAGTAAGATAACTGAGGTACCAGAGAGCAGACAAGCATTTCTTAGAAGAGAATGAATAGCTATTCCAAAGGAAAGATCAAAACAGACAAACTAAGGTGGGACAAGGAAAATGAGTAGAATGCACTTATTCGATAGTTAATTAAAAGGACAAATCAATAAGATGCAGGGACCAATTGAAGCAAGGAAGAAGTACTAGTCTAGAATGACTCAGCTTTCAGGCTTAGATGGCAAGAAGGAAAATGACAACATTAACTAAGATGTGAAAAAAGGAACAAATCTGCTTGGGGGAGGACAATGCAGATGGAGAGCAAACAACTGACTTCAGGTTTGGAGATACTGAATTTTAAGTATCTGACATACACATAAGAAAGACTATCCAGAAGACTATGAAAATATATAGTTAGAAGCATGGCTCTGAAGTTAGACTACCTGAGTTCAAAACCTGTCTCCGTTACTTGCTGGGGGTAGCCCTGGATGAGGTATTTAACCTATCTGAACTTCAATTCCTCATCTACAAAATAGAGATGATAATAATAGTACTACCTTATACTGCTGTTGTGAGGATCAAATAAATCAATACCTATAAAGCTCTTAGAGCATTACTAGAACACAGTACTATAATGTATTGTATTTGTTAGAACACAGTTCAACGAATTGTTAGAACAAATTATTAAATAGAAGGTAAAACCATGGGAGTGCCTGATATCAGACACTATAAGAGGGAGGCCACTGGGCTAAAATACCTCAGTGGAAAATATATATATGGGGCAAGGTGAAACCTTCTCTTAAAGCTTGATATTAGTCAAAATCCATCAATCCCTCGTGAAAAAAGAAAATCAAAATCAAACAAGGCAATTCAAAGTCTGAAAACCTCCCACATATCACTGAAACTTTCAGAGAACCTATAAGAAAGTATCTATTGAGAAAAAGAAAAATTAGATAAATGAAGGACAGATAATTAACATTATTTAAGGGTCCAGCAGAGGGAAAAGTTTATATGAAGGACATTGAAAGTTATGCAGGAGTAGAAATAAAACCAAGCAAAAGCATTATACAATTTAACACAGGAAACTATTCCAAAAAGAAATGGAGAGATCAAGTTAGATGAGAATTTAACAATTTATTTGGGAATTAAGAAGATAATGAGGAGACTAATGTACAAATTTAATTCTAAGATTTTAACTTTATTTTGCTCTTAACTTTATTTCAATCAAATAGTTTATTTTATTTAATGGTATCTTACCTTCCGAGAATAAAAAAGGTGACAGGTAAACCAGGAAAGTGATAAAACGTGCATGTTTTACAATTTCATTAGATTGTTAGTTTTTTTGTTTTGTTTTGTTTTGTTTGTTTATTGATTTTTTTTTTAAGATTTTATTTATTTATTTTTTCCCCCCAAAGCCCCAGTAGATAGTTGTATGTCATAGCTACACATCCTTCTAGTTGCTGTATGTGGGACTCGGCCTCAGTATGGCAGGAGAAGCAGTGCCTCGGTGCGTGCCCAGGATCCGAACCCGGGCCACCAGCAGCGGAGCGTGCGCACTTAACTGCCAAGCCACGGGCCGACCCTAATTGATGTGTTAATAGTTTTTAGCATTGTGAAATTTGGGGTTATACATTTTTGTTTGTCCACCACCATATATATGTCTCCCTTCACCCCTTGTGCCGACCCCCCACCTTCCTTGCCCCTGGTAACCACAATACAGTTTTCTCTGTCCATGTGTTGGTTTATATTCCACATATGAGTGAGATAATACAGTGTTTGTCTTTCTCTTTCTGACTTATTTCACTTAACATAATACCCTCCAGGTCCATCCCTGTTGTTGCAAATGGGACGATTTTGTCTTTTTTTATGGCTGAGTAGTATTCCATTGTATATATATACCACATCTTCTTGATCCAATCATCAGTTGAGGGACACTCAGGTTGCTTCCACTTCTTGGCTATGGTGAATAATGCTGAAATGAACATAGGGGTGCATAAGCCTCTTTGAATTGTTGATTTCAGGTTCGTTGGATAGATTCCCAGTAGTGGGATGGCTGGGTCATGGGCATCTCTATTTCTAATTCTTTGAGGAATCTCCATACCGTTTTCCATACAGGCTGCACCAGTTTGCGTTCCCACCAGCTGTGTATGAGGGTTCCTGTTTCTCCACATCCTCTCCAACACTTGTGGTTTTTTGTCTTGGTGATTATAGCCATTCTAACGGGCGTGAGGTGATATCTTAGTGTTGTTTTGATTTGCATTTCCCTGATGATTAGTGATGTTGAACATCTTTTCATGTGCCTCTTGGCCATCTGTATATCTTCTTTGGAGAAGTCTCTGTTCATTTCCTCTGCCCATTTTTTGATCGGGTTGTTTGTTTTATTGTTGTTCAGTTGTGTGAGTTCTTTGTATATTATGGAGATCAACCCCTTGTCAGATGTATGTTTTGCAAATATTCTCTCCCAGCTGGTGGGTTGTCTGTTCATCTTGATTCTGGTTTTGTTTGTCTTGTAGAAGCTCTTTAATCTGATAAAGTGCCACTTGCTTATTTTTTCTTTAGTTTCCCTAGTCTGGGTAGGCATGTCCTATGAAAAGACTCCTTTATGACCAATGTCAAATAGTGTGTTGCCTATATTTTCTTCTATGAGTTTTATAGTTTAGGTCTCACCTTCAGGTCTTTGATCCATTTTGAGTTAATTTTTGTGAATGGCGATAGCAGATAGTCCACTTTCATAGATTGTTAGGTTTTTAACATTCTTTTTAAAAACATCAATCCTTGAAGCATTTTCAATTTCCTATTACATTCTTAGAATTTTTGTACTTTTGTTCCTCCTGCTAAACTCATCCAGTCCTGCCCTGTTGATTTCCACCCCTGTGCCTTTAATCATACCCTTCTACTAACCTATGATAGATTTTCTAACCAATCGTATCTCACCATTCCTCCAAAACCAGATCAAGACTCACCTACTCCAATAAACCTTTCTCTAAACACTCAATACAACAGGTATTTAATAAACATGTGCTAAGTTATATAAATAAAAATAATTAAAGAACTTTTTTCTTTGTTTGAGGAAGATCTGCCCTGAGCCAACATCCATGCCAATCCTTCTCTTTTTGCTGAGGAAGACCGGACCTGAGCTAACATCTATTGCCAATCCTCCTCCTTTTTTTTTCCTTTTTCTCCCCAAAGCCCCAGTAGATAGTTGTATGTCATAGTTGCACATCCTTCTAGTTGCTGTATGTGGGACGCTGCCTCAGCACGGCTGGACAAGCGGTGCGTCGGTGAGCAGCCAGGATCCGAACCCAGGCTGCCAGTAGCGGAGCACGTGCACTTAACTGCTAAGCCATGGGGCCAGCCCCCTAAAGAATTATTTTTAATGAATAAATAAGCCATAGGTAAAACAGATATGTTAAAACAAACACAATTTACTCATTTAAAATAACCTATGAAATCATAAAAAATAATCCACAAGAGGCAAAAGGAAAAAAAAAGCAGAAAAAAGGAACAACGAATAGATGGGACAAATAGAAAGCAGACAGTAAGATGGCAGATTTAAACACAACCATATCAATAATTACACTAATCTACAAATGGTCTAATGACCCAAGTTAAAAAGGAAAAACTGTCGCATGACATCAGCGTCATGGCAGAGTGAGTTTTCCCGTAAACTCTTCCCCCAATAAGACACAACAAAAGGAACAGTCATAGACCAACAACGGACTCCTAAACAGCGAAAAGCAAGATCGGAAAGATCCACACTGCTGCACATCTGAGAGTGGAACGGGCTGGGCCCCCAGAGGAAGTGGGGAGAGACAAGGAGAACTCCTTTCCCTCCCCATCAGATCAGTGATCCCAGTCCACGCGGCTCCCAGAGGGGGGGAGGGGCGACTCTCTGCGGGGAAACCGTAGCTGTTGGAGCTCTCTTAGCCAGTGGGAAACTCCCACACAGAGGACTCAGAACTGCTACAGAGGTACCATCAACATCTGAGC